AAATAATCAAAATGCAGTTTAGTAATTTAATAACAAGCAAACAATAGTTGATAATAATAGATTTAATGATAGCTTTCAGTTTAAGTTAGATTATAATTTTACTTTCAATATAGATTTGATACTTAAGTTTATTTTAGCAAATATATTGACTTGAAGGTATTGCAGTTGCTTTCTTCTTAGATAAAAGGCCCTTTATTTACAATAAAACTTTTATTTATATTAGTAATTAATTTCTAACATAACTATAATATCTATTACATCCTAATTATATTTAAGAAAAGGCCAATATCTTATTTATCTCATAAATAAAAGAAATAGCATAAGTAACAAAAGTAATAGAAATAAGAAAAGTAACAGAAATAATATTTCTGTTACTTTTCATGTGACTTCAAATTGAATCGAGATTATCACTTAATTTAAGCCTTTGTGATTTACAAAAAATCAGGCTCACAATAGAATAGCTTTTGAACTAGTCTAAAGAATAATCTTTTTGAATTGTAGTTTGTATATTTATTTTAAAATTATAAGTAATAATAATAATAATAGAAAAATGTTTAAAGTTATAAATAGTTTAGAATGAAGATATAAAAAAATTTTTTAAATAGTTTATAGTATGGATAAAGTGTTTTATAATATAAATAATAAAAAAGAGCAGATAAAAAGAATAAGAATTGGATAAGAAAATTGAGTTTTTCAAAATTGCCAGTAAATTTTTCAGAGAACTAGTAAATTTTCTGAACTTGACCAATAGAATTTCAGAAAGGAGTTTAAATAAAAATTTAAAGAGAAATTTTAATAACTTAATAAGTTTTGGTTTGTTAAAGATAAAATTTATATTAAATAATTGTCTTAATAAGCTAAATATTTTTGTTTAATGAGAAAAAATAAGATTGCTTAATAAAATTAATAAAAATTGAGAAAGTATATTTTTTTAGAAAATATTAGTTGATATATAAATATAATAGTTAGAATTTAGTAAAATTAGTATAGTTAAAAGCAAAAAGTTTAGTATACTTAGTTTACTTAAAAGTAAAAGAGTTTAATTAAGTATAAATTAAAGAAAGTTAAAAAGAATATAAATAAAGATTATTTATTAAAATATAAGAGTTTGTTGTATTAAAAGATTAAGTATAAATAAATTTGTATTGTTTTTAAAACAAAAAAAATTATAAGAAAAAGATTTAATTAGGAGTTTAAGATCTGTTAGTTTAGTAAAATATTGAAAAAAATTGAATTGTTTGTTAGAAAAAAGTTGGTTTTAGTAATCTATAAGAAGAGTTAAGTGATTGGCATCCTTAAATAATATTATAAACTATATTATTACTTTAATATATTATACTATATAAAATAAATTAAAAAACTTATTAAAAACTATTAAGACCAATTGAATAAAGAAAAAAAAGCAGAATGGTTTAAAGCAATTAAATCAAAAGTACTTAGCAATCCAGAAAATAGAGTAGTACAAAGATACTCAGAATAAGTGAACAAAATACTCAGACAATGCAAGTCAAATAGAAGCATATATCAGAAGATAAAAAAAAAAAGAATAGATAGTATATGATACATGAGATTACAGACAATTCAGAAAGATGATCAAAAAAAAAAAAGTATTAATTGAACACTGGCAAATGGAATGCAAAGAGAATAAAATAGTAACTGAGATCAACAGATGTAAAAGGTATATAAGTAAAGAAGAACAGATAGAAAATAGTTGTCAGCAATAGATAAGATTAAATAAAAACATTCATATAATTCCAGATAGATTAGTAAATAAGAGTAGCAATCAAATTAAAATAGTAGTAGACCAAATAATAGACAAAATAGAAATAGGCAAATCAAAAATAAGTGAATGCAAACTAAAGGGTCTTATAATAATAGAAAAACTAGAGATAAAAATTATTAAATAACAAAAACTAAAAGAAAATATTAGTCAAGAAATAATAAAAGTCCTAAAAACAACATTATGAAAAACAAGAACAAATATATAATATATACTGATAATGCAACTAATAGAAAAGATAGTAAAGAGCTAATGTTTAAAAACAATATAAGTTTAGAATAGGTCTAAACAAATAAACACAAGAATGGCCAAAAGAAGAGGTAGTATTTAAACTAAAAGGATAACAAAAATCAATGATAGCAGAGTTGGTAGTAATTTGGACAACAATTTTAATAATATCTAAAGAGAAATAAATAGAGATATACACAAATAGTAATGCTGTAATAAGAAACATTGGTAAAAGCCTAAAACAAGCAGACAGAAACAAGATTATTAAGAAGAAGAATGCAATATAGATAATGAAGATTAAAGACCTTGTCAAGATGAAAAATATTCAATATATTTAGTTAAAATTAAAAGTTATAGTAAAGACAAATGAAATAATAAAGTTAATAGTTTAGCAAAGAAGAGAACAATGAGTAAAAAAATAGTATAGGCTGAAAAAGTCAGTTGTAAAAAAATAAAGTACTGCCTAAAGTAGAAAAATAGACAAACTAATATATCAACAAAACTGTTTTGCAAATTAGTAATAAACATAAAACTAGGAACAAAGTAGAAAAAAACAAGAATAATTAAAGGTTTAGAGTCAAAAGCAGAAATTATAATTTATGATTAGACTTATTTTTGGAAAAAGCTAAAGATGATTAAGGAAATATACTGCACAACAAAAAGAAGCAGCTTCAGAAGAAATGCATTTATTAAGTACATAATAGATAAACTTCCAATTTTAGAAAAATTAACAGAAGAGAGTCAGATATATATATATATAACAGTAAAATGTCAAGTATATCAAGATAAAGTAAAAAAAATACAAGCATACTTGACAGCATATAAGGGACAAAGAAATCTCTGAAAGATAATACAAAAAGTGATTATTACAACAACATGAAAGAAATTAAAAGAAGAAGAAAAGATTCAGATTCTCTTATACATTTTATATACAGTGCTTTTTGGAAAAACAGAGACAGAGGAAGTCAAAATAAGAGAAGTACTAATGAAAGGTCTAATTCTAAAAGAAATACAAGACAAACTAGCAGAACTATTAAATACAAAATCAAGACAACAGTTTGTAAACACAGTAATAATAATGACTTGAGACACATTCTATGAACAAGTATAGAAAATATATTGTAAGAAAATTATTGAATAAAAGAAAAAAATTGGAATAACAGAGAGAAGTAAAAGAAAAAAAGGTAAAAATTCAAAAAAACTAAGAAAATGAAAAAAGATTAGGAAAAAACAGAAAAGAAAAAAGAAGAAATAAGAGAAAAAGAAAAACAAGTTGAGAAAAAAGTAATGAAAACAATTTTGAAGCTTGTCATGAAAAGGAGAAGATCTTTTTATTATAAACTTTAAGTAGTCAGACAAGTAGTTTACTTCTGTTTAAAGTAATGTAACAGATTGCACTTAGGTACCATTAAGGTGACCAGGTAATGTTAGACTTAGATATTAGAGATATGTAGGTAACTACAAATGTAATTTCAAAAACTCAATAAAATACTAGTGTGACTGCTTATAAGAAAAAAAAAAATTTTTTTAAATAATAAATTAGAAATTCAAAATCTATTAATAATGAAAATTAAACAATTATTTATATTATGACAACTGTTTTTAAATGATTAGTTGAAACAAAATACTTGTAACTATGATTACATTAACATAACTGACAGGTTATAAGACATCTATGTAATTTTGATTACATGAAAAAAATACAAATTAGTAGTATTAAATGATGCAAATCCAAGATAAATCCTTGTGATTATGTAAATCTGTAAAACTAGAAAACAAAAACCTATTTGAAAAGATCCAAGTAGAAAGATAATACAGATCTTTGACAGTACTACTAATAAAAAAAAAAATAACAAAAAACTCAGTACACAATTCAGTACAGTAAGTAGAAATAGAGAAACAGTAATAAAGAGATTTGAAGAAAAATTTAAACTCAATTTTAAGAAAGACTTTTATTGCTTTTTTTTATACTCCGACTCTTACTATTTTACTTTCACTTAAACTTGTTTATTCTTAAATTAACAATAGTTTAATAACGATAATGACAGATTATCTTGCGTCAGATCACTACTGAGGCACCTCAGGTGACCGATTAGTAAGTCAGTGTTAGTCTAAGGCACAACATATACATTTTATTCTTAATATTATTACGTATAACAATAAAAAAAACCAATAATGGGTTCATATAGCATTCAGTACAACCGACATCAAAATGGTAAATATTATAAAAATATTTATTATTTCTTTATTATATATATAGTTAAAAAAATAATTGATTTAAATAAAATATTTGGTTAGTAAAATAATAGCTTGCATCAACTTACCAATAATTACCGAAAGTTTTCTCAAAAGGATTAAGGGTTTTAAATCTAGTAAATGCCTTTTAAAATAAAATTAAAGGAAACAACCTTGCCTTTGATAGAATCAACGACCGTTTATGCCATAAGAAATTTTCGGAAAGTTGACTTTAGAAAACGCGAATCAATCTATTATACACGTTAAAATATATTTGTCAAAGTTTTGATTTTTTAAAATTAGAACACCAAATTATCTTTCTCAATAATTTTCTACATTTACATTTTCTAACATATCCAGTTCGTGTTATATTTTACAAGCAGAATTTGCCCACAAGCATAGAAATAGAGATTGATTAACAATTATTATCTAAATTAGCAGTACTACAAGTATATAAACACATATTAATTCTTCATTAAAGTTTTCTTCCTGACAGTAAAATAGTAAGATATTTATTTCTTTAAATTGAGCTTTTTATCCGCAGTAAAACGAAAGACGGGCCAATCAATTTTCGATACCATATTTGCATCGAATTATCTATTAAATATATAGTTATATATAAATATTGATTAGTAGGGTGAAATGTGAATAAATAAATAAATAAATAACGAAAGATCGTGTGAAAAGGATAGAGTACCGAATACGATAATTCGCCTCAAATTTCTCAAATTTCCAAATTGTCCTACCGTATATAAAATCATCTGCACAATTCGTAGACATATATTTGACCTTCGTCCGCAACATTTTCCAGATCCGGAAGTAAAGACATTCTAAACCTGGACTGCAGTTTACTAAAAAAACACGTCTCCTCTTCCTTAGTCAATCCTCGTCTTTTATAGCCGAGGAATATCTTTGTGCGTCCGGGAGTACAAACAGTAACTAACGTTTGTATTAAGGAGTCGAATAAATCTAAAAAAGAAATAAAGAAAAATAAAGAGAAATAGCAGTCGCAGTTATAGACTGATTACCATTAAATACACACAAAGTAAATAATCATCGTCGACAGTTTCCTACCGGGTTCGTAAACAACGTCAGAAGCAAATACATAATCAATAGCATCTAACTGCTCGGCTTTCGACGTATCACCCCATTTCAAAGATCCAATTTCAATCGATACACTGTTCATTACTCCCAAGACATGATTATTCAAGGAATAGTTGTCACGGATAAGGTTTAATGCATGATCCAAGTCGGTCAAGATAACATGTGTCTTTACACCACGCTTTATTCCTATCTTTTTCAAACTAGTCATACTGGCCATAAAAGCAGCCAAATAAAGGCCGACAAAACCAGTCCCTGTTGATAAATCCAAAATTCTTTTACCATAAAGCAATTTTAGGTCTTTAAGAATCATGTCCCTAATCATTTTAACCATTACGAACGCAGAATCCCAAACTTTTCCAGGAATGCCAACATCCCACAATTCTTTAATAATCAAATGTTTGCCATTTGGGAGGAAAAATGCTCGATAACTATGAATAATGTATTCATCAGTACTCCAAAGACATTTTGTTTTCATAGAGGATGGAGGTGGACATTGTGGCGAAGACGACCAAGAATGAGAAGAGCTCCGCAAAGATGAAGAAATTTGTAATTTAGGATCATTCGTTGAAACGACAGTTTGAGATTCTGCCGAAATACAAGAGATGCCACTAGCCGTATGATGATGAGCACAAGAATCAGAGTGCGAATGACAATCCACCAAATCAATTGGGCCAATGGCCAAAGGAACAAGTAGATGCTCATTCACGTGATAATTTCCATTAACTGTTTTTGTTTCATTGATGAACATGCTATTACTATCGTCATCATAATGGTGGTTGCTATTATTATTATTAGATAAAATCTTCATTATTGGATATACATATAAGAACCTTTGGATATTATTAGAATATAACTTATTCTTTTTATTTCTGCCTTTAGATATAGGCACATCATTTGCATCAGATCCATTTTCAGAAGCATTGGAATGAGAATTGGTGGGAACAATACGAAATTCCAATCCACCTTTACCGCCACTTTGCACTCCAGCCCAATCGGTGGAAGTCAAGCCGCTCCATTCACAAGCCTCAGGACTCATTGGTCTGACTTGGACTTCAAATTCGTCAATTACACCATCGTTTCCAATTTCCAACATCTTGATTCCCAGAGAATAACCTTCCACACCGTACATATCCTCCCTTTTGAATAAACCCATCTCGCTAACAAACATAAGATCCATTGTATACCACATATTTAAATGAATATATGGATGTAATGGTCGCCTAAGAAGAAGACGATAATGAAATTTTTTTGCTAAGTCACTATAAGCACTCGAGTCATCATCAATCAAGCGGAACGCCTCGGTTGCACTATTACGACGCGAATTTTCTTTCGCAACTAAATCAGAGATTCGACGAAGGCGGTCGACGACACAGTGCATATTAATAGTAGGAAGAGAAGATTTTGATAAAACGATCAATGGATCCATACTAGGTATAAGTGAAGAAAGGACACCATCTGAACCAGACACAATGCTCTTTACGGATTTTCCAAGGATTAATGTCTTTAATAATTCAAGATCATTTTTAGCCTGCTCCCATTTTTCGAGAGCTTCGAATGCTAGACTTCGAAGCCAAAGCGTCAATAAACAACAAATGTATTGGTCAATAGATTGATAACTGTCACTATATCCGTTTAAAGATCCGTTTGATTGAGAAGAATTATTTTGTAGACTGACTGTCCTGACAACCTCCACAGTATCAGCGAGAACATGTTCAAATTCACGAAGCTGTTGAAAACACATTGCTCGGGCTAAGAGAACGTGTTCGTGTGAAACTCCAGGTTCACCGTTAGAATTTTGGCCAACATTCAATAATGAGTTTAAAATCTCGATCGCGGTAGCGTAATCCCCAGAAGCGTATGCCTTTTGAATTTGTTCTAGCCCCGAAAACTTACGAAAGTCTTTCCAACCGGCTGCATTTCGATTCCTATATAATGACGGAGACATCCTTTGTATCGCCAAAGATTTAGATGGTAGTAGTATGCAGCCTTTTTTTTTTTTTTTGTTATTATTTTGCAGAAAGAGTTACAAAAAAAATTTTTCTTAACAGATATATATGAATTGATAAACCAAATAGTGTTGCCACTTATACTAAAAATTACTAAACTGATTGACTTGCACATCATTACACGTACATACTCCTATTGCATATATATACGTATATATATATTAACGTAAACGATAATCGGTTATTTAACGTTAACATCAGAAATGATTTTGTCATCGAGACCCTTATCGCTATTACTGTATTATTAAATTAAAAAAAAAATAGTATATTTTTACTGATGTGGATTCATTTTATTGGTTATATAAAAAAAATTAGTCGAAATTATTGCACAGCCACTATCAGTAATGTTCGTTCGATATGTAATATAAGCCATCGCAACATAATAAAGATTGATAAATTAAATAATTGATGAGTCATGAGCCAGAAACCAATATCATCTCTATGCTGTACTTCTTGTTACTTTCTAGATACGTACAATAGGTAGCGTTCTTCTAGTTAACGAAGACTAGATTACAAACTTGTAATTTAAGGCTAACTGTAGTGTCCGTCTCATTGGTTTAGCCACCACTATTCTCTTGCACATATATGTATATATACTCATATGAAGTTCGCGAAAAATGTCGCGTACATAATTACTTTGTTTATTAGAAACTGTAGATCATTTATGTAAGTTTTGTATTCTGATCATTAACATTAAATGCCAAGGATTTACAAAATTTATCAATTATTATTATTTCTTAATTTGTATATCAATATTTATTTATTAATGAATTAATGAATCCAAAGTAAAGTATTATTTCTATGTACTGTATATATCTGATATATTATGAATTTATTAATTTTTAGATTTTCATCGCTACTCCCTGATCGTCCAATCAGGATACAAGATCTGGTGTAGCATGAACCATGATAAGGAATACGCTTGTTACTTGTGATGACAGTTCCGAAAAGCATTCCGTTTTTTCTGCAGTTCCTATTGATCTCAAGTATTCAGATGAAATATATCACCATATTATGACCAATATAGTATGCAGAAAGGCAAAATTAGCAAATCCGTTCCGAAAGTGTCGGACCGTATAACGTAAGAATCAAAATAACTATAATCTCTAAACTTCATTAATACGTATAGCCAACTCTTCGATATTATAAATTCTATTTAAGCGCTAAACCACATTTTTTAAACTAACAAAATATATATATAGCAGAATCGATTTTGATTTTTAGATGTTTAGATTGAATAATAAAATACATATATAGTGTGGATAATATTTATAGGCTAACTCTCGTAATTGGTTGATAACATAAAATTTATAATTGGCATGCAACAATCAACTAATAAAATGGCGTATAGCAATATTATGGGCTATGTCATTATACAACCACGACAATCTTAGAGTTTTCATTGAACCATTACATACTTATGCCTATATGGTATTGCAGACCAATTATACCTATATCCCAATATTTGGGCTAGGTGCTGGAAAAAGGGTCGAAAATGACAAAAAAAAAGATCTTCGGAAAATCAATTTTTATATTATAAATTTTATAATAAATCATAAGAAAATGCAAACTTTAAAGAGCTATACTGCAAAACTTTATTAATACAACTACTTTCGTATCTTAAGTAAAAAATGATTCTAATTTAATTCTAAATTGATTTATGTAAAAAAAGCTCTTAAAAAAATTGTCATGTTCGGTCCTTTTCCCAGCACTTAGCCCATATATCACCAATTGAACAAAAACTTAAGGGTAGGGTGAAGTAATCTACATTTTAATAGTGATTACATTACTATTTTTTTTACATATAATTGACAATTCATGATAAAAAGAGAATAAAAACTGGGGGAGATTTTATAATAAAATATTAAAATATATTAATACAGAAATCATGATTCCTATAGTTCATAGAAAAAATTAAACTTAAAACTACTTGTAACTTTCTATATATCTAACTAATTTTACTGATCTTATTATCATTAGAATCACAAAAACTAGCTCTACAACTTTCATTAAATGATCAAAAAATGTTAAATTAATAAAAATTTAACTTTAAATAGTCAGGAATGCTGATTGTTATATTTTATATATAACATTATAGATTTTATTAATACAAATTTACCTTCATTTGTAAATTGTCAATTAATTGAAATCAGATAATGATTATATGTCATTATATTGTATAATACAAAAAAATTGGTTACTTAGAAAAATTAAAGTAATTTTTAAAGATAAAATTTTATATAATATAAATTTTAAAATTTTTTTATAATATATAAAAAATTTAAATTATATAATTTTTTTTTTAAATATTAATGGTAAAACCATGTGAATTATATAATTTTAAATTTTGATAAAGATTAGTTTTAATAATAAAAGGTTTTATTAATAACATATTTTTATTTTTTATATAAAATTTAATTTGTAAAAAAAATTATAATAAAACTTCTATAAGTATATGTTTTTAAAATTGAACGTTAATAATATACACTTAGAGAATAATAAAAAAAATGTATTTATAAAGACTATATATTTGCATTTAGAGAGAATATGCATTTATAAAAAATGTACTTATAGAGGTTTTACTATATAACAAATAATTTATATGCTTTTTACTTATAATTTTATTTAGAAAATAAATATTGTTAACTATTTTAATAATTTTATATATTGATTTTTTAAAGAAAATAAATTAAATTGTTCACTTTTTCAAAAAACTTTAGAAAAACAATCGAATCAACTCTTTTTTGTAGATCTCTCGACCAAAAATTGTTAAGAAGCAAAATACAGAAAAACCACAAAACCAACTAGAAAACAATATTTAAACCCTTAACAAAAAAGGAAGAGCAGCAAAAGTTATACATAACTAGGAAACAAAGACACAAGAAGAAAAGCATAGCAGTAGCATAGCTTGAAAAACTTAGAAAATTTCAATGAAAACAAAAAATTTTGAAAAATTTTGGAGAATTCCTGTGACCTTGTTGTGAAGATCAATTTAGGTTACATGAAAAGCACAAAAAACAAGCAAAGTAAACAAACAAATATGTGTACTAAAATAGTTCATCAGAATAAGCATGTGATATAGCAATAATCAAACTAGAATAGCCAATAGCTGAAGTACATAATAAAGATATTATAGAGTATATTAAAGGGATAGGTGACAAAAATTGCAGATATGTAGATTGCAAAATATTAGACCAAGTTCTTAAAATACCAGCAAGAAGACCAAGTAATATAGAGCACATTACAAAAGATTTGGTAATCTATGACTCAAAGCATATTATATTGCAAGACTTGCTAGTTTATAGCTAGGTATTAGAAGCCTTGAAAATAGCAGAGATAAGCTGACTTAAGAAAGAAATAATCGACAAATAGGCAGAAAAGCTGAGGTCAATAAGCTACAACCCAAACTTATTCGAATATAACACAAATATAAAAGAAGAAGAAGCTTATCAAGAAGAAAACAGAAGAGATAAGGTAAGTATACTAGCTGAATCTAATAGAACAAAAAAATTTACCAATAAAGAACAGAATCAAGAAAAAGAAAATGTTTTTAAAAAGTTAGAGCAGAGACTAGAAATGCTAAAAATGCAAATAAAAGGACTTAGCATTGCTACATCACAATATCAAACAAGTCAAGTTATAAACAATTTAGAATTTAAAGAAGAAATATTAACAAAAGGTAAAGAAACAAATTTGGAAACTATGAATATAGAAATAACAGAACAAGAAGAAAAAATGAACAATAAAGAAGATGAAACAATTTTTCTTACAGGTTCAATTAAACACAGTAGGTAGTTCTGAATAATCAAATATGTAATAAAAATAGATTCTTCAAAGCAAATATATCGATATACACCTTATCAGGGGAAACCAAAGAAGAAAGAATAAAGTATGTCTAGTGGATTCTAGGAAAAAATCACCACATCAAAACAGTCAAAGAGGTATTCAAAAATGGAAATAATTGGATAGAAGTGAATTTTGATTATGAGCATAGTAAAGATGCAGCAATAGACAGAATCAAGAGAAAAGAAGAAGAATAGCTAAAACTTATACCAGAAGAAAAACTTACAATATAGCACAGCAAGAGAAGCATAATACTATGAGAAGAAAAAAAGAAAGTATAAGATGAAAAAAAACAAAGAAAGATATTGAAACAGAAGTGTCAAATGTTAAGAACAGAGAAAGAAAAGAAGAAGAATACAAAAACACAAGGAAGCAAAAGCAAAAGTTAAGATCACAAAAAGCATCAGAACAGAAGAGAATGTAAAGACAGAAAATTATCTCATGATTTGGAACCTACTACCAAATATCAATATAGAAGAGGTAGAACACATGTGCAGAAACATCAAGAATGCCAAAATAGAATGAATCAAGAGATCCAAATACAAAGCTCTGGCAATTGTATATACAAAGAATTTAAGAGAAAAAAATATCCCATGGGCCTTGCCAATTGGTACATACAAACTAGCAAGAGTGTCCAAAGGCAATGAAGACTATAGTCTATGAGACCAACACAGTCTATACATATTCAAGTTGTTAGAGCTTTCAGGAAATACATCTGAAGTGCTGCTACTATGATGCATAAAGAAGTGAAATGCTAAGTTAGTGTACATACCAACAAACAAAAATGGAAATCAAAGAAGATTTGCAATAGTTACCTTTGCATCAGAGAAGGAGATGAAGACAGCACAAACTAAGCCAATAAGGTTTAACAATCACTTGTTATTTTGGCAAGGTAAAACAAAGAAGAAGAAGCAGAATGAAGAAGAAGAAGAATTTTATAAGAAGTGCATAATTGTATACAATATAAACATAAACTTAGATGCAGAAGTATATGAAAACAAGAGTAACAGAGATGAAAGAGACACAGATGAGTATAATGAAAATAAAAAAAAGCATCATATATATTCAACAATAAAAGAAAACTCCCAGGCACGAA